GGTTACCTCTACTCAGGATCATGACTCCCTTAACTTAATGGCCCTTATTCTGAAAGCTGCCTGCTAGTTCGGGTTGAATGAGTCCAGTATGTTGAACCGGCATGTTTGAATTAATTCCTCCAGTCGAGACACGTGTAATATTCACTTGAAGCGTATTCAAAGGTTTCTAGCCTATTTGGCCCTTTCTACAGAAGGCCCCTTCTGGAAGTATACCTCAGTTACCCAAACAGCTGTTTAGTACGCCTTTACTCAGACTGGCATATGGCTTAACTGTAATTTCTTATGTTTCCCGCTTCCTAACCGCCGCACAGGAAAGGATCGAGTTCACACTTCAGCTGACAAAGAGCCTACTAGAGAATGCCGAAAAGGATCCCGCCAGCTTGGTCCAGCTGTCAACACGACTACAAGCTCGTCTTGCCAATCTTGCCGACCAGACAGATTGGTTAGTCTCTGATGAAACTGTCTCTAACGGTGCAGAAACGGACTCCCGCACATTAACAGAACTACAAAAAACCCAAGGATGGCGTTCTTCTGCACTCGCACGCGTCCTGCACTTGGATGGTCATGACATGACAGACTTGGTCAGTCAGTCTATGGTTGTAGTCTGGACACGTGAAAAGGCCCTCAGGTCCGAGTTACGCGAAGGAAAGACAGGCTCTCTTGAAGGTACCTTGTCACCCAGTCGTCTTAGTCCACGTTCACAGCCCACAGGCGTGAGTTTCCAAACAATTTACCGTTAGATTGCTTCCCAGTTCTCTTTCAACTGCACCCTTTATTATTCTGGTCATCAAACATTCATTGCGTGCACCGACCTGCATGGAAGAGGCTGTTTTCTGAAATTCGATAGTTCTTACACTAACAAAACAATGCGGGTCCTCCGTTACTCAAATTCTAATCATTTTCGGTACATGCCAAGAATACAAGATGAACCTGTCTACCTGGCTGTTAGGTACTTGAGTCTTCCATTGGTGTTAGACAGCACGTGTATTTTCATGAAGAGTTGTTTATATAATAAGCGAAAGTCTATTAAACAAGCGTTTGCCCACAAGCAGCAGCATTACTGGTTGAATTAAGTGATTGTTTTCGCATACTACTGCCCAATGTAGCCGGTCTTGGTGGTGATGATTATACTTCATGGTTTACGACGGTCTGCAACAGCGGAAAAGAACAGGTTCATCACATCGCTTCAACGTCTAAGACGAAATATCGGAGTTGCATGAATCCTTTCCTTGAACCATTTTGGGGATTTGACCTCTGCATCGCAGCCTCCATGTGGGCGGCACCTACGAATTCAGGGGACCGAAGACAAGCGATACGCCCAGACTAAATGTCTACCGTCTCCCTCGAGATAAGGTCGGTTGATCATGAGAGGACATTAGTCAAGCCCAAGCTTTCCTTCTTCTGCTAGGCGTAAAGCCCAACATTTAACGCCCTAACTAAGGAATAACCAGACTGGCGCCGAGTAAATGTGGACCTTGCTAATGAGTGAGATCCCGCGAAGGGTTCATCTGCACTTCCCAGAGTACGCTAAAAAAGCAACAAGCAGTTTTTATCCAGAGAGCATCGTCCACGTGGTAGCAATCTCGCCCTAAACCATTTCAAATTGACCATTTCAGATGCTGACCACTCATCCTAGAATGTGCTTTCTCTTAATCAGAAATGCAGCTCGACAACATCGTGCTCTGCCTAGCGTTGATGGATTAAGCAAATAGTCCAGCGAAATTAGTTCATTGTAACACTAGCAAGGCGGTATCGTCAGAATAGCCGGGTACAGTCAATTGTCGTCAGGGTTAAATTCTGACGGCCTCAAAACTTCGAAGAGTTATTCCGAAAATCCAGCCATTGGTACGTTTATAAAAATGCAGCCCCTTCGCACGAAAGACCGGCGGAGATTATTGTGGAGTAGAATCCGAACAGCGGTGAGACGATAGCAGGTTTTGATCACAGCAATAATTTTGGCCCGGCAACCATCTGGCTGTATTATCCCCCACAAGAACTACAAATTAATGGGCGTTGAAGTAAAGCTGGCAGTGGTTGGTTTCCGCTAGTCATGCCTGAGCCCAAAAATACATTGTAGTATGAATAATTTAGTCGGTGCATCCGCGTTCAGCTCTGTATCCGACTTTGTCCTCAAGTCATGCAGACCCTGCATACGTCTGAGAGTGAAAGCGGCAAAGATCTCTGTAGCTGTGTCGATGAAACTCATGCTGGGTTTTTCCTCGCCCTCTGCCTTATTCCCCATTGAAGACAAGC